TCCTGCATTAAATGGATTCAATACTCATGTTGTCTTTTACGTGAATGACAATTTGATTGAGTATAAAATTCCTGGATCATACTTGATTTTCTTGAGCATTTTGAGAGCTGTATTCTGTATTCCAGTGGTTTCTTTCCCTCTAAAGGTGGCAACATTTTTTTTTCTAGTGAGTGTTAATCTACCATTTGTATTTATTTCTTATTTCTTCCTCATTTCTCACATCTTTGAATAGATCCTTGTTGGTTCCTCTTTGATTGTTTCTTGTAATAAAAGTGTGAGTCCTTGGAGGACTATTTGTAGGAGGTTCATTTGGGGGAGAGGCCATGACTTTGTTCTAGGCTAGCAGGAATTTACCATAATTCACAATAGTGTTTGTTATCACATATGCCTGAGTGTGGGATTGAATTCTATTAGCTTTAATTTCTCTAACACGTGCAGTTGCAGGTTTGTTCATAATGAATTGTTTTGCCTTCTACTCTGCCCCACTGAGAGATTGTTTCTGGCAAATTTGTTTCTGTGTGATTCCTTATCTGGCCCTTCTCCCCTGCTGTTTCTTGGTGCCATTCAGTCCTAGGGATGTTTTCACTGCTGCCTATGAGCCTTATTTTCATTATATTAAAGAAGGACGTTTTTGTCTTTTCAGGGTATGTCACTGGCTTTTGTGTTCTCTTGCCTAATTACAAAGTGTGAACTCTTACTCTGCTAGCTTTGTAGCCACAGATGATCTTTTGGTGTCTTCCTATATTCCTGTTTGACCTTGATTACATTTGGTAGTCCCATCCCTGTTGTGAGTAGGGGTCATAGGCCCCTCTTAGTTTCATCAAAGATGGAGTTACACTTCTTTTTCTTATTGGCTTTATTTTGTTCTCTGAGAGGAGAAAGGACCAATATAGTCTCTCAATTGTAGTTTAAAAACCAGAATATGCTTTTACAATTTACACTGTATATGCATTTTATTTGTTTTTCTTATGCTAAGATCTATTTTAAATTATAATTAATTGCTAATAATTTGATCTTATATAAATTATTTTGCATTTTTTATAACAGCTGTTTTGCATTTTTTTATAATAGCAACTGAGGCATGAAAATTTGGTGAATCTCTTGGAAGTGTATAAGAAGAAAAAACGATGGTACCTAATTTTTGAATTTGTTGACCACACAATTCTTGATGACTTAGAGCTCTTTCCAAATGGACTAGACTACCAAGTAGTTCAAAAGTATTTGTTTCAGATTATTAATGGAATTGGATTTTGTCACAGTCACAATGTAAGTATTGGGTTTAAATAATTTGCTTTATCACATAGTTATTCATTCATTAATCATTTAATCTGTCTTATTGATTTATGCATTTGGAAATAAGTTGTAGACGTTAGTACACTTTAACACTAATACTTCATCTATACATCTCATTAATTGGAGTTACATATTTATTTTCTTTTTTTCCAAGACGGAGTCTTGCTCTGTCGCCCGTGCTGAGGCGGAGGTTAATCCCGGCTCACTGCAACCTCCGCCTCCCAGGTTCAAGCAATTCTCCTGCTTTAGCTTACCAAGTAGCTGGGATTACAGGTATGGGCCACCACGCCCAGCTAATTTTTGTATTTTCAGTAGACATGGGATTTCATCATGTTGGCCATGCCTGTCTCAAACTTTTGACCTTGTGATCTGCCTGCCTCAGCCTCCCAAAGTGCTGGGATTACAGGCATGAGCCACCGCTCCTGGCCCTGTTTTCTGTTCTTTTTTTCTTTTTTTATTGTACTTTAGGTTCTGGGGTACATGTGCAGATCACATTTTCTAAGTGAAATGCACAAATGCCAAGTGATGAATTTTGACAAATGTATAGATTAATTAATCTTGCCTAATTACAAAGTGTAAATATATGAAAATTTCTACCCTTACCCTGTAGTCTGTCACAATAATTTTATATCCTTTGAATATCATATAAAAGCACCTCCAAGATGAGTGATACCTATAAAGTATAAATGAATAACTCAGCACATAGATTTTGCCAGTTTTACAAAATATTTTAAATGTCATTTTTTGTGTGATTATAAAAGTAATAAATGTTAATGGTAGAATAATTAAAAACTAAAGATAATTATGAAGAAAGAAAAAATCATTTTACATACCTGCCACCTAATGGATATATTTTTTTGTTGTTGTTATTAGTATTCACTGTCTTTAATTTTTAAACTATCTTTTATTGTGTAGTTTTATTATGTCATTGAGTTATAGTGTGAAGTTTACGTGTGTGTGTGTGTGTGTGTGTTAGAAAAATTGCTCAGTAGAGGCAGATACTTAGTTTCTACTGGGAAAAACACTGCCCTTTTTAGGAGGCCACCCATAGTGGCCTCCTGGAAACTTTGGAATGATCCAGGCTCAGAAAATCTATTTTGAGAAATGTAATTTTGAGACTCTGTCTCTTAGGGCAGACTCACATTGACCAAACCCAGGAGTCTGAATGCCAGTTTACTAAATTGCAAAAAGAGATAATTGTTACAGGGAAGAAATATATATAAAACAGAATAATAATAATGTTGGTTTTTGCAAGAAATCAGATCAGCATGAGGTGTTAGTGAATCAAATACTTAATGGTATCAATTTAAAAGATATTGATTCATCCTTCTTCATAAAAATGATGATATCTTCCCAATGTGTCTGTAATACTTGAAGTTAGGTGGCTGAATGCCCTACATTCATCTCTGTACTAAGGAGAGGCTTGCCGGTGGAACCAGCAAGCAAAAAGAATCATTGTCTGTCTCCCTGTAGAAGCGCATTTGAATGTGTTCTGCTTATATTGCTTCTGTTTCCCTTTATTTTTATACTTTCCTGATGAATCAACCCATGTTTAATAACACATTCTACCTTTAGATGTACAGATACATCTAGGCAGTTTAGAGTCAAGTACTGCTGACATGAGTGCCATTCTGTCTTTAAGGAAAGAGATTTTAGGCTGGGCATGGTGGCTCACGCCTGTAATCCTAGCCCTTTGGGAGCCAAGATGGGTGGATCACTTGAGGTCAGGAGTTAGAAACCAGCCTGGCCAACATGGTGAAAACACATCTCTACTAAAAATACAAAAAATTAACCAAGCATGGTGGCAGTTGCCTGTAATCCCAGCTACTTGGGAGGCTGAGGCAGGTGAATTGCTTGTACCCAGGAGGCAGAGGTTGCAGTGAGCTGAGATGGCGCCACTGCCCTCAAGCCTGGGCAGCACAGTGAGACTCTCTCCCAAAAAAAAAGACAAAGAAAAAAGAAAAGAGATTGTAAAATCCAGTGGTTCCCTGCTCAGCTTCAGAGCATTTACATATCTCTTTATGGAAAATGTGAATTTTTATGGGTGGAGAACTGATCTCACTATAATTTATGAACACTTGTCTCAAGGCAGTATTAGTGTTATTAAGGTTGCCTGGTAGTCATACTACTTTTTTTCTAGTCCATTTACTCTTTTTTTTTTTTTTTTTTGAGATAGAATCTCACTCTGTCACCCAGGCTAGAGTGCAATGGCGTGATCTTGGCTCTCTATAACCCCTGTCTCCCGGGTTCAAGTGTTTCTCCTGCCCCAGCCTCCCAAGTAGCTGGGATTACAGGTGTGCACCACCATACTTGGCTAATTTTTGTATTTTTAGTAGAGATGGGGTTTCACCATGTTGGTCAGGCTGGTCTTGAACTCCTGGCCTCAAATGATCTTCCCACCTTGGCCTCCCCAAGTGTTGGGATTACAGACTTGAGCCTCTGTGCCCAGCCTCCATTTGCTCTTATTTACTTTATTTTATTTTTTTGGAGAGGGAGTCTCGCTCTGTCACCCAGGCTGGAGTGCAGTGCTGTGATCTCGGCTCACTGCAACCTCTGCCTCCCTGGTTCAAGCAATTCTCTTGCTCAGCCTCCTGAATAGCTGGGATTACAGGTGCCCATCACCACGCTTGGCTAATTTTTGTATTTTTAGCAGAGATGGAGTTTCACCATGTTGCTCAGGCTGGTCTTGAACTCCTGACCTCATGATCTGCCTGCCTCAGCCTCCCAAAGTGCTGGGATTACAGGCGTGAGCCATTGCACCCCACCTCCTCCATTTACTCTTAAACTCTTCTAGATTATGATTTCTTACCCTCTTTCTTCTCAAACCCTAGTACCTCTTCTCCAGTCTTTACTCCCAGCCTCCAGTTAAATGGAGATAATAATAGCATCTATCCATAGGGTTATTGTGAGAATAAAATAAGTTAAAACATGAAAAACACTTAGAATGGTGCCTGACACGTAAGTGTTCAAGTGTTAGCTATTATTGCTATTATTAAAGATATTTTTTAGGTTTTGTTTTCTGGGCAGTTAGCATTTCTCTTCCTAATGCAGACAGATAATAATGGTAAGGGTTGGAATAAATAAACACACACATACATACATACATACATACATATAAACACATATATGTACACATAAGGATGAGATGCCAGACTTTAAGAAAATGAAAACATTTATTCTCAAATATATTATTCATTTTTATATTTATCTATATATGTGAGCACCTGAATTTTTTTTTTTTTGAGATGGAGGCTCGCTTTGTCACCCAGGCTGGAGTGCAGTGGTGTGGTCTTGGCTCACTGCAACCTCCGCCTCCCAAGTTCAAGCGATTCTCCTGCCTCAGCCTCCTGAGTAGCTGGGACTACAGGCATGCGCCACCGTGCCCAGCAAATTTTGTTGTATTTTTAGTAGAGATGGGGTTTCACCATGTTGGCCAGGTTGGTCTAGAATGTCTGACCTCGTGATCTGCCTGCCTCAGCCTTGCAAAGTACTGGGATGACAGGTGTGAGCCACCACGCCTGGCCAACACTTGAATTTTTAAAAATATAAATACTGTTTTAATCTTTTTGTGAGCCAGACTGAATAATATATTTAACAACAAATTTAAGGTTGATGTCAATTCAAGTTTGATCCAAATAGTATAGAGCATTATGAGGTTTGTAGAACTCCAAACAACTTTTTTACTGAAATTACTAGGTATTATAAATTATTTAGGTTATACCTAGTATTAAAGACCCATGTGAGAGCCTACCCTTTTCAAAATTCTTTCTCTGGCTACCCCAGCCTGCACCGACGGGTTTTAGGGAAAATTCTACTCATATCACCTTGGTTATACTTAGGATCTATTGTTGTTACCATAAGTAATAAGGTATTAGTTGGGAAGTAACATGATGATCAGGCACTGTAGCCCTCTCATTTGTGGGATGAGAAGATAGACGTAGAAAGATTGAGTTGTCTCAGGCTGTACTGAAAACCAGTGACCAGACCCAGGTCTCTTCATTTGCATTTTAGCTCCTTCTACCACAGCACAGGTGGTTTGAGCCTGGACCTGTGTCCTCACCATTGATATTGAGGGTAATAAAAGTTGGTAGCCTGTACAACATGCTCGGCAATGGTAGATTGCCACTTAGGATGCCGGTCTTCTAAAAGACTTTAAAACAAATCTATCTTTTCAAAATACAATCTGCTTACATTAGGCCTGATAATGTCTTTTGCTTAACTGTAGATTTTTAAATGTTATCCGAATACCAGTATCCAGTTTTATTCTTCCAATATCTCCTTCAGAAATCTTAACCACTGACGTTTTTGTTTACTCTTTACATTTCTAATTACCTGATGAATGTCTATACTTGAGTGCTCAGCATTCCACTCAAAAGTCCATATGATTAAAACTAAACTAATTATTCCATTAAAACTAACTTTCTCTAGACTTTTCTATTTTTGAAAATGGAACCACCATTCTTTTGAATTAGCAGGTTCAAACAAAATATCTAAGACTCCTTCTAAATTCTATTTTATTTATTTATTTATTTTTGAGATGGACTGTCACTCTGTCTTCCAGGCTGGAGGGCAGTGGTGTGATCTCGGCTCATTGCAACCTCTGCTTCCCTGATTCAAGAAATTCTCCTGCTTTAGCCTCCCAAGTAGCTGGAATTACAGGCATGCACCACCACACCCAGCTAATTATTTGTATTTTAGTAGAGACAGGGTTTCACCAGGTTGGTCAGGCTGGTCTCGAGCTCCGGACCTCAAGTGATCTGCCCACCTTGGCCTCCCAAAGTGCTGGGATTATAGGCATGAGCCACTGTGCCCGGTCTATTGATTCTTGATTTAATGTATTTCCAAACTGTATCTCCTCCCTCCCATTCCTCTGAATACCAGCCTAGTTTAGGCCCTTATCACCTCATACTGGTCCCACTGCTCTGCTTCCTGCATCTCATCTTTCTCTCTGATTTAGCTCATTTATGGTCAACATCATCTTTAAATACCACATTGTCTGTCACTTCCATGAGTTCTCAGGGTCTTGCCACACTTCCTAGTCTGGCAGCTAAGATATTTCTTCTCCACTTCCTACAACTGTACGCTAGAAAAAAACATTTTCCCACAATCTCTTATCTATTCCCATTTCCATTCTTGCTCTCTTTGTCACATTCACTTAGACTGTCCTTCTTTTTCTTTATTTATCTAGATCATACTTAGTATTAAAGGCCTGTGTTAGAGCCCACCCTTTCATAAAAATTTTCCCTGATTACCCCAGCTTCAATGATAGCTTTACTCTCTTAGTTTTGAGAGCAGTCATTAATCGAACAGTTGATTTAGTAATTTGAAAAAATATATTTTAATCAAATATTTTTCATTGTTTAAATAAAATTTCAAGTATAAATGTTCTTTCTTGCCCAACTAGGTCCTAGGTTATTTACTTTCTATGCTTTTGTTTGTATTCTTTATAGTGACAAAATGCAATGCCCTGCACATCGCAGGTGCCCCAAAATAATTAATTTTATTTAACATCTGTCACACTCTGCTTCTTGTCTTAGATCATACACAGAGATATAAAGCCAGAGAATATATTAGTCTCCCAGTCTGGCATTGTCAAGCTATGTGATTTTGGATTTGCACGTAAATTGGAAGCTCCTGGGGAGGCTTATACTGATTATGTGGCAACCCGGTGGTACAGAGCTCCAGAACTATTGGTTGGTGACGTCAAGTATGGCAAGTAAGACGGCAATGATGGGGAGGAGTAGATTTTAACTCTTGCTTCTTGCTACAGTGGAATGTTTGTTATATAATAAATGATCCCTGTAATACTGATAGGAAGGCTAGAGTTTAGGGAACTATATAAGGTGGTTTGTAATCATTTTTGGTGCTTCCCCGTTAAACATTCTTGTGAAACAAGTATACTTATTTTAAAGGTGGGGAAATTAAGTGGTCTATTTTATACAGTGCGTCAGAAATAGATATATTTGTCACTTGTAAAGAGAGGTTAACATTGGTTGGTTAAATATGACATTGTTGAAACAGGGCAAGATGGAGTAAGCAAAGGTGGGGGCAGAAATATAATTAAGTAAAATGTTTTTAAAACATAATTTGTCTTCACAAGGGAATTCTTCAAAGAAGAAAGGATTGTAACTTTTACTGTTTTTGATAGAAATCTTTCTAAAATATTTTCTATAATTTCTGTTTTCAGAGTACACTAAATATTGTTCTTTTATTGATTACTCTGAGTTCTCATTTTGCTAACGTTAGAATTTTTGTGCCATTTTATAATTCAGCAATAACCTTAAGCATTTTAAGATAGTTGTTCCTATGCCAAATGATGCTTGCGTATTCTTTGAATTTTTATAACTGATTTGTAAGATAGTTTTAAAATTTTTATCCCTATCAGCCCTCAGTTCTCTTCATTGTGACTGTATTTATCCTTAGCAATCACCTCCTCTTTCTGGTATGCTGTTTTCGGTATGCTATGGCATAGCATAGATTGGTCCAGCTTGCTAGAGTTATGTGTAAACAAAGAATGAATAGGCTCTAAATGGAGCCTGAGAATTTTATTTCCAGAATAAAGTATACATAATAACAGTTCTGGCTTTTCAGAAAGCATTTTCCTTTTATGTCACATGACTGAAGTTTCTAGAAAGCTCACTTATGCAAAATTGGGAGTTAGAACTTTAATAGGGAAATATCTTTTCATGGGTAATTTAAGAGTTACTATAGGTTGAGTATTCCTTATCCTAAATGCTTGGGACCAGAAGTGTTGCAGATTTCAGGGGGTGTTTTTATTTTTATTTTATTTGGGATATTTGCATTATATCAGTGGAGCATCCCAAACCCAAAAATTTGAAATCTGAAATGCTCCAGTTGACATTTCCTTTGAGCTCACCTCAGTGCTTAAAACGTTTTGGGTTTTGGAGCATATTAGGATGGCAGATTTTACACCACATTGCTTTTTTTTCAGGGCTGTTGATGTGTGGGCTATTGGTTGTCTGGTAACTGAAATGTTCATGGGGGAACCCCTATTTCCTGGAGATTCTGATATTGATCAGCTATATCATATTATGATGTGTTTAGGTAAGATTACACATCTGCATTTTAAATTTTAGAGATTTTTCTGTGCATTTGTTTGTGTGTGTGTGTTTGTGATATTTTAAGCTGTTACATTAAAGATTATATACGTTTTAAGTGAAGATAGGGAGCACATAGAAAAATTGTGTGTGTGTTTTAATTTATTTTTTCCCTTCAGTCTGGCATTGGTCTATCTGATGCATGTTCTTAATCACACTCACCTCCCCTTTTCCCTCAACAGAGAGGAAAAGAGCAGAGGTTGTGCGTTTCTCTGCACTTTTACATATAGTTAATTACATATAGAGAGGATACAATGATCATTTATTATTTTTGAGTTAGTGAGCATTTGGTGTAATATAACTACTGTCCCTACTTTCATATTCAAGAGGAGAGACACAGAGATTTCCAAGGTTGCTTAATCTTGCCTCAGATTTGGACTTTTGCTGTTAGTGCTTTTGACAGAATTTCAAAGCTGGACTGTGAAAATCTGACGTTTGTTGAAATATCAACTTCAAAGTTGAGGATGGAGCTTAGAAATAACTATTTAACTACTTGATTTGAAGTTTTCACATTAGAAATTCAATAAGCAGTACAATGGCTTCTTACAGTGGAATTTTCAGATGTATTTTATATTCAACTAGATACTAAAGTTGAGAAAAAAGATGAAGTGCTCAAATCTGACCTTAATATAAGCACAAAATCTGTTGACCAAATATTAAATTCTTAAAGGGGTAGAACTGATTTATCTAGATTAGATCCTGTCCATATGACTATTAATGTTTTTATTGTTTTGTTCAGCACTTTATGCTTTGTAGTTAGAAACAAAGTGCTGGTACTTATCTCTGGAAGGTTATAAAATGTTCTTTACTTGTCCTTTTCCTACACTCCTTAATACTGCTGTGTACCGCCACAGTAACAGCATTGTCTTTAGTCAATTTTGCATGCTGAGAGAGCCCAAACTCCATAAACTGTGTTCCGCTATTTCCTCTATTTCAAACCTCCTGTCTCNACCAAGTTGTATAATAACAGAGATATGTGCTGTTTTCACTTCCAGGTAATCTAATTCCAAGACATCAGGAGCTTTTTTATAAAAATCCTGTATTTGCTGGAGTAAGGTTGCCTGAAATCAAGGAAAGAATACCTCTTGAAAGACGCTATCCTAAGCTCTCTGAAGTGGTGATAGATTTAGCAAAGGTAATCATATTTTTTGTTTATACTTTCTGACAGGGAATGTATACACTATTGAGACTTGTTTTTTCTTTTTTTCTTGTCTAGTTGATCTTTTAGGTCAACAATTTCCTCTAATGATTTTAATTTTTATACATTTAGAAAGAATTTAAATAATTTGATGGGGGTAACTTCAGAGAAAAAGGACTGAAAATTTTACCTGTTCTAAAACTCAGTAAGAAACCATTTAGTGTTATCTAGCATTTTGTAAATGTGAAAACATCCTCATTGAAAAACATATTAAAAACCTAAAAATACTGCATGATTTTAACTTTTAACATTTAAAATGCAAACCTTGTGTAAATGGAAAATAAAATAAAAGTAGGATAAGAAAATAAAAAGAGCCCAGACACAGTGGCTCATGCCTGTAATCCCAGCACTTTGGGAGGCTAAGGCAGGCAAATTACCTGAGGTCGGGAGTTCGAGACCAGCCTGGCCAACATGGTGAAACCCTGTGTCTACTGAAAATACAAAAAAATTATCTGGGCGTGGTGGCGTGCACCTGTAATCCTAGCTGCTTGGGATGCTGAGACAGGAGAATCACGTGAACCCAGGAGGCAGAAGTTATAGTGAGCTGAGATCGCGCCACTGCACTCTATCCTGGGTGACAGAGTGAAATTCTGTCTCAAAAAAAGAGAGAAAAGAATAGAAAAAAAAAAAGGATAGAGAAGTAGGAAAATATGAAAATGTAGGGCATAGAATCATGATCTGTATGGTATTGTCAAAGGAGTTTTTGCTTAACCACTGGATTTGCTGCAGCCAGTCTACAAATGACCAATACTTTTTTGTTGTATTTGATTAAGGAAGATGTTGAAGAGATTCTCACTCTATCAAGTGAGAATCAACTCTAAGAGTTGACAGTTTTGGAATTATTAGCTCAAAAAATTCTCATTAGCTAAGATTGTTTAAAGTATTGTTAAAATATCTACCTCTGAAACACTAAGATATCACATTTACCCAATTTTTTTTTTGTTTTTTAATTCTTTTTTTTCTTTTTTTCTGTCTTCTCTGCACTAGTATGTTTTTAAATTCTTTAACTCATGAAGTTTAGTAAGCTTATAATTAATGATAACAAGTTCTTAGAATAATACATTTCCAGTTTTTTACATAATCTTCTAACAGATGGAAATATTTTTTAATTGGTATAAGCTTTGTGATCTCTCTGTAAGGAGATATAAAGGGAATAAAGGTAAAACTATCGTCCAACTTGTGTACTTCAAGTAGAACCATATAAAACTTTTAAAACATTTTATTTTGGAAAATTTCAAACAGAAAATAGAATAGTTTTATAATGAACCTTTATGTACTCATCATCTAGTTTCAACAATTATCAAGCTTTTGATAATATTGTTTGATTTATCCACACTCGCTTCAACTTTTTTTTTTTTTGGAGTATTTTGAAGCAAATCCCAGACATCATATTTTTCTTATAAGTAGCACAGTTGTACAGAGAACTTTTCTTGTTCACTTAAAGATACTTATTGAGTCCCATCTCTTTTTACTGGCATTTTAAGAGTTTTAATGAATCAGAACAAGACTTTGCAATAAAATAAAATAAAATAATTTCGTAAAGCATCTAGCATAGTTATAAGCACAGGGTAAATCCTCTCTCTTCCATTCTATAATAACCTTAAGTTTAAAAATTCCAAATAATTTTTTACTGTCATAAAATATCTTACTGATATTTAAAGTTTCATTAATTTTCACAAAATTTCACTTTATACATTGAATTAGAATCTAAATGAAGTCTATAGATTACCATTGGTCAATATGTTTTTAAAACTTTATTTATAAGCTTCTCTTCATCTCTTTCTTTTTTGTTTAAATGTTGCAATTTATTTGTTGAAGAAAGTAGGTTGTTTGTCCTTAGAATTTTCTACATAATGCAGTATACATGTTTCTCTGTGTCCTGTTTTTCTTATAAACTCACAGTAGAGTTAGAGCTTGATCAGAATCATGTTGATTTTTTGGTAACACTACTTCACAGGAGGTTTGTGTATTTCTGTGTAGAGACACTGAATGTTTGGTGGTCTTTCTTTTTATGATACTAGCAACCATTGATGGTCACTGCCTAGATTTGTGATTAATCTTTATCCTTGACTATAGTTTAAAATTCATTGGCACTCAAGCATGGTGGATCTCGCTGGTAATCCCAGCCTTTTGGAAGCTGAGGAGGGGGGATAGCTTGAGCCCAGGAATTTGAGACTAGCTTGGGCAACATGAGGAAGCCCTGTCTTACAAAAAATACAAAAATTAGCTGGGCTTGGTGGTGTGAACCTGTGGTCCCAGCTATTCGAGACTGAGGTGAAAGGATCACCTGAGCCTGGAGAGGTCAAGGCTGAGGTTAAGCCGTGATTGCACCACTGCATTCCAGCCTGGGCGACAGAGTGAGACCCTGTCTTAAAAAAAATCGTTGACTATAAAGAGGCATTTAAAAAATATATTTGTAAGTTTAAACGTAGGTAGTTTTTCTTTGATATGAACTCTAAGTGTTTTTAATTTTTCAGAAATGCTTACATATTGACCCTGACAAAAGGCCCTTCTGTGCTGAGCTCTTATACCATGATTTCTTTCAAATGGATGGATTTGCTGAGAGGTATAGTACTAACCCATGTTTTTCAGGTCATACCAACCTAGGGTTAAAGTAAGTTTTCCACAGTAGTCACAAACAGCATTTCTCTTATTTCTGTTCCTACCTACATGCAGCTCCTAGGGGTGGTCTCCTGCATTTACTAAATTAGTGCTCTTGGTTTGCATGAAGCAGTCACTTTACGCTCTTCTTTCTGTCTCCCTGTGGTGACATCTACCAGTCAGTTCACTGATTTCTATGTTGCTTCCAACTGTGTGATGCCATTATCTTAGATGCCAATGCAGTTACAAAGGTGCCATCTCCTGTTGCTGCCCAATTCATACCACACCAAGTCCTTTGATACTGCTGACACTGCTGGTGTGCTGGAGACCTTGATGTGCCAAACCTGTGGGTGCCAGAGTTGCTGTCATGGTCTTCTGTGCTGCTCAAGCTGCTGGCAACAGTGCAGCTGACAAAACAAAGTAGTGAGATGAGTGGCATTAACACGTAGCTTAATAAAAGATAGCTAGGTTTTCCCGTTTGCTTCTGTATTCAATTAGTTGTGATATGTTGTTTTTGTGGAAGTATATGAAGAAACTCTGGCCTCACATAAATATGTAGTTGGAAATAGAATATTTTAATAGCCTTTTAAGATAATTGTGGGTATTCTTTGGTTCTATAACAAAACTTGACAGTTGTAGTTTCTTAAAGGCTGGTTGTGTTGTGGAATCTGAGTTTTTCTTCCTTTGTTAAAATAAAATCCATTTGTCTGTCTTGCCTTTTTTTTTCCCATTTATTTATTTTATTGCATTTTAGGTTTTGGGGTACATGTGAAGAACATGCAAAATTGTTGCATCGGCACACACGTGGCAGTGTGATTTGCTGCCTTCCTCCCCATCACCTACATCTGGCATTTCTCCCCTTGCTATCTCTCCCCAGCTCCCCACCCCCCACCATCCC